GATTACTAAGTAGACTAATCAAACTAATTACTAAGTAGACTAATTAAACTAATTACTAAGTAGACTGATTATACTAATTACTCTTTACTAACTGCCTAGTTAGTACTCTACTGTGTCTGCCTTAATTAGTCGTAGCTATAGGTAATAGTCTAATTAACTCGTAATATTACGAAGGATATACGAATTATAAAATTTAACTACTTATATACGTAATTTTACCGTAGATCTAGACTTAATCTTATATATTATTTAGTACTTTTTTTACTATACTATACTATATTATTTTATATATATTTTAATTTCTACTATCTCTTTTATACGAATTATACTATAATAAGTCTCGTCTATATAGCTACTTTATCTAAGGTAATTAAAGCTACTATAATTATTATTACTACTATACTACTACTATAGCTTTAGTAAGAAATAAAGAGGAAATAAGCTAGCTAGTCTAAAATAGATAAGAAATAAGTTAAATACTAGTTATCTTAAGACTATTCTATATTTTACTAGTATTATCTTCTATAGATTAGGCTTCTAATATATAATTAGTAGGCAATTATTATATACTATATTTATCTTTACTCTCTTACGCTAGTAAGTAGTAATTCTACGTAGCCTAGCTACTAATAACTAAGTACTTAGAGCTCTTCTAACTAATAGATTAAAGAGAGATAGTAGTATAAGAGTATATATATATAGCTAAGTATAATAAATCTAGGTTTTTATTTTAGGCTCTATAAGATAATACCTATTTAAGCTATAGATCTACTATTTTAACTACTTTAGAATATAGTAATAGATAGATTAAGTAGAATTTTCCTTTCTAAGTATTAGTAGTATACTATTCTCAGATATTAGATAGGTAGAAGGGGCTATCTTGTAGGCTTAACGGTACAGTGCCTAAAGGGGCAGAGTGAAGACGATCGATCGGCCGTGTGCGCACCCGGTTTGCGTATCGAGAGCCTGACTCGCACCCCAGTCATCCCGTCTTCACCGCGGGCCCGCCCCGTGAACTGTGAACCTTCGCCGACCCTGCAGCTTTCCGCCTCGGCCTCTGCCTTTGCCTCTGCCTCTGCCTCCCGTCTGCTTCTGCTTCGCTTCTGCGCTGCTCTGCTCTGCTCCGCTCTGCTCTACTCTGCCGCATCAGAGCTAGTAATGGGCAGCGGCCGAGAGTTGCCAGCAGCGCCGCTATAGGCTCTGTATTGCCCGCCGCATCTCAGTCTCTGATGCTCAGTCACTGGAAGGCCCTGGTTAAGGGTGCGGAGTGCGGGCTCCACTCTGCCATATACTGATATGCACCACGCCGTCCTCTCCCACAACTACTACTGTGCTGTGCAGCGCTCGCAACGACCGTCGCCCCGTCTGCTCCAACACTAACCGCTTCACTGCTGTCTCTGTTCGCTAGTGCCCACGGCAATTCGAATCGTCCTCGCCTTCATTCTGTCGTCATCCGCCAATGCAGCAGCAGCGGGCCTGAACTCTATAACGCTACCCTCTGGCTATTAGACCACCCCAGTGCCACCCGCCGGTTCGTTCCAGGTCTGTGCAACTGCTGACCCTGGACCTGGCCTTCTCGGGTGAAGATACGATCCCTCACATTGCAATTCGATTATATCCAATCCCAATCCGTCCTTCCCGCGATTCAACCTACGACTCGGCGCTCCCACCGGCTGCCTACATCCACGGTAGATGGCAACAACACTCCCCATGATCACCTCGCCTACTTCGCCGACGCTGCTGCGTTGCAGTCCGAGTCTCTCCGCCTTTACAAATTACTCCCCTTTCGACTCCTCACCCGAGGTGAACCACGACTCCGCCGATGCCGTCGTCACGCCCGACAGTGAGCACGAAAGCCCGCCAGAGCGAGACTCTCCCGTGTGCGGCAGCGTCGTGCCCAAGATCGAAGAGCTCGACGACGACGACGACGACGACCACAATGCGCTAGAAGCCCTAGCGATCGATGCCAAGCCTGCCCTCGGCGATGATCAAGCGCAAGCGCAACCGCTGCCCGCGCCTCCACCCCGCAAACGAGGCCGGCCCAGGAAGCACCCCATCGTGGAGCAGAAAAAGTCGACGGCCTCACACGCTCGCTCCAAGACCGGCTGCGGTACATGTCGCCGGCGAAAGAAAAAGTGTGACGAGACGAAGCCCGTCTGCTTGAACTGCGAGAAAAATAACGTGGTCTGCGACGGCTACGAACCGAAGCAGCCATGGCGGAGCGGGAAGCAGAAGGCGCTCGTCAAATGCGATCCCACTCCGCTACCGCCTCTCCAGATAATACCAGAGGGCGTCGAGGGTGCTGTCGATCGCATGTTCGTCCAGCACTTCACGAGTCTGGTCGGCAGACGACTGTCATTGACGGACAATGGCAACCCGTTCCTCGAACACATCTTCCAGATGGCACAGAAGCACGTCGGACTGATGCATGGCCTGATTTACCTCTCCGGTAGTAATTTGATCGCGGGATCGCCATACTCCAATGCCGAGTGGGAAGAACGTCAATGGCATCATGAAAGCAAAGCCATCAACTTCCTCTGGGCAGACCTCAAGAAGATCATCGATGCCAGTGACCAGAACAAGGCCCTGGTGTCTGTGGACGACCATTCGCTTGCTCAATCTCTAGTCCTCTGTCTCCAAACGGTGGCGGCTGGAAATACAAATGGAATATACCGGGTAGGTAGAGCTGACATGTTTGTACTCTTCCCTGTTGGAAGCTGGCACATGGTCTCAGAAACTGGCTAACTCGAGCAGACCCACCTCGACGCGCTGAAGAAGATGCTCGAGTGCAAATCCGGCGCGCTGAACAACATAACCTTTCGACGTTTCGTGTTGGAGTTCGTCATTTATCACGACTATAGCAGCGCTATCACCAGCCTCCAAAATCCCCTGGACGAACGAAGTTTCGCTCTCATGGAAGAGTTCAGGCTGTCAGAGTGTATGATCCAACCTCAGGCGGGTATCCTACTTGGCGTCCTCGACGGACTCTTTGGTTACATTTCTCAGATTCGCAGCCTTCGCGACATCATTCGTGGATGGGCCCAGCAAGGCACTCCGTTCTGGGCATCTCCACAGGCAGGTTACATCCAAGAACAAGTCTTCAACCTCACACAGGCAATACGCAAATGGAAACCCGACTGTCAGCCAGACAGTCCGCGGTTTGAGGCCAGCTTGCTGTACAGGCAATGCACATACATCTACCTCGCACGCACAGCAAGCCCATCTCGACCATTGCCCTTTTACCAACAGGCCGTCGAGGAGGGTCTCAAACACCTCCGCAATCTACCGTGGGATAAGGACAAGATCTCAACACAGTCGATCCTGCTCATGCCGCTCTTCCTCCTGGGCTGTGCGGCTTTCGATCCCCAGCAACGACCCGAAATCGACGATGCATTCCAACGATTGCAGGACTGGAGCAATTTTGGAAACATCAAGCATACCCGCTCGGTCATACAGGAGCTTTGGCACATGATGGACAACGACCGTGCGGAGGAGACATGGGATTGGGAAACCATCATGGACCGTCAACAGCTGAGGTTCCTCATCACCTAAAGGCTAAATGAGCGAAACTCCAGTCCAGCCGCTGCTAGCGCGCATGTGAACCAATGGGTCTTGCCGGCACCGGTCCGCGACTCAGCTTTGTTCCGACGACATCAACGTTGGAACCAATACCACGATCCACAGTACGGCCCACGATACTACACCCATCCACTCACCAGTTCGAATGGGCCGGGCAGTAACCTTTTTGAAGATTCTCTCTGTCCCTCACCGGATCACTCTACGAGGCGCCTCCCCGAGTCGAGTTGAATCGAATAGCTCGTTTTATTTCATCTCCCGTCTCTGTATCGTTGGGATAAGGCCCATTCTGCGCGCCGATTATGAATAATTTTTTCTCTCTTGGCGCAAAAATGAAAGTACGACAGACAGGACTTTGGGTAAGGACAGCCCTTTGTGTTTTGGGTGGGCAATGGCATGGGAATGGCATGGCCATGGCATGGATACGGAGGAACGAAGCGATATGATCTGATTTGTTGTTTAATGGCTTATATGGAGAAACATTGTGCAAAAAGGCAATTTTTTTACTGGCGATCTATATGATATGATATCACTATGATAGGAGGGATGGTGAGAGAGAGAGAGAGAGAGAGAGAGAGAGAGAGAGAGAGAGTGAGAGAGAGAGAGAGAGAGAGAGGTGTTGCGAAGAAGTTTTTTCCCTACTCGCCTATCATACCTTGGGCTTCTCTGGTGGGATGAGAGGGGACTCCAATTTGTCTCATGTGCGCCACCTCTGGTTGGTACGTTTTGCGTGTGGTGTGTGTGTGTGTGTGTGTGTGTGTGTGTGTGTGTGTATATCGGTATCCTATTTTCTTCTTCGTAAAACCCACTCTTTACGTAGTACCTAGTAGGAGACTGAACAGTGGTCGACATTGCGCCGGTAATGGTTAGTTAGCTACCGATATATCCAGCCATTGTAATTATATTCTTCTCCAATTGTATTAAGAAGGAAAGAATTCCCCTTTCGGAGCGTGAGCGAGAATCTCGAAATAGGGGAACAAATGGCGGTGGTGGGGGGGGGGGGGGGGGGGGGGGTTTCCTGTTTTTAAAAAAGCCCGTAAGCGTGGCAC